CTATGTTATTAGTAGCAAAGTAAATTTTACAGCAAAGAAAGTTACCAGACACAAAGAGGGACATATCATAATGATAAATGAGCCAATCCATCAAGATGACCTAGCCAGACTCAATGTCTATGCACCAAACAACAGAGCTATATATTTTGAAGTAAAAACTGATGGAAAAGAAAGGAGAAGCAGGCAAATCCACAATTATAGTTGGACAATCAACACTCCTCTATTAATACTTGATGAAACAACTAGATAGAAAACCAGCAAGGATGCAGAAGAACTCAACAATGTCAACCAATAAGGTCTAATCGACATTTATAGAACACTCCACCAAACAACAACAGAATACTCATTCTCTTCAAGTGATTAAGAAATGCTACTAAAATAGACCATAAATATCCAGGGCCAAAAACAAGTCTTAACAAATTAAACAGAAGTGAAATCTCACAGAATATGTTTTCCAAACACAATGGACTGACAACAAGAAAACAAAATCAGATCAGCACAGTAAATTTCGTACCAATATCATATCTTATAATCAATCTATAGACTCAACAAATATTTATTATAGTAGAAAGGCAAGAGGACAAATATTAAGAGATTATTAAAATAATCCATGCAAGAAAATTAAAAACACAATCAAACACAACAAACACAATCAAAACAAGTAAGTACACCAAAAATAAACAAACTTTTTTTTTTTTTCCTTTTCACTAGTATGTGTCATCATATAAGGACACAACTGCTCCCTGTATCATCTTATATACCAACATCCCCACTATGGAATTTTCTAGAACAGATGACACACATGATAGGCTTTCTGCTATTACCATCATTTCTCTCAGGATAAATTATGCTCAGAATTGTCTCTGTCCTTATATTCGTCAATCAGTAGATAAGACTTCTCTTTACAAATTTTCACTCACAGGAGCAACACCCTTTCACACTCAATTTTGTTATTTAAGACAGTATTTTCCACATACAGCTTCCATATAGCTCTACATAGAGCTAGCGTGGAGATAAGTTCTGTCATTACATATTTTATTCTTAGTGTCACTTTGATATTGAATCTGCTAAAGAATTCTAATGTTTACTCAATAGTATACAATATTTTACCATCAACACTGAAAAAGTAGCTACCAAATACACACTGAATTCTGCTATCACTCTGTAAGTGCTGCCAGAAAGACGCTGTGACATCAGAAATAATTACACTGATATTAATGCATTAAGAGGCCATGGTTATCTGTATACTATGTATCTCAAACATAGTATTAGCAGCCTGTTGAGGTAGCTTATTTTTCTACTCACAGAAATACTGACATTTATACATTACTTATAATGAAAATCAATAATTGCTTGTAGGAGTTTTTGCCTATGAACCAAAATTTGACAGCCAACTTCACTCATATAACAGAAGATGGCATACATTTAAGTGATGTCTAGTAAATGTAATACCCCAGAAATTGAATTCAGGCAACTCTAAACTCTAAGCCTGTAAAAGTGATAGGACACTTGAGAAACTGAGTATAAAAATCACCCTTCCTTTCACCCCTTTTCATCAGGAATAGGCTGCAGTTGTGACTAGTCACTTGAACTTGGTGGGCAGGCAGTCAAGTCAGCAGATGAAAGGGTCCAAGGATCTATATACCTCCTTGACTTGACCAGGCAGAATCCCAGGCAGTCGAGTGGCTGGTAACACCCTAAAGAATAGGGAAGGCTGGCACACCAGCTTGGGGTACCGCTATGTTCCCCTGCTATGCAAGGCCATCTCCATGGAGTTGCCTCCTACAGAGAGGTAACTCAGACCCTTTGCTGTGTCTGTTAAGTCGCCCTATCAATCTGTGGACCATCATGTATGGAAACCAGGCAAACACACTTACCCTTTTTGGAAAAGAAATTACTCTTCAAATATTATAAAATACAAAAAGCATGAAATGTTCAGATACTACTTACAAGGTTTTCCATATCTGTACGAGCCAACATGTATGTCTTGATATTACTATTCTGATGCAGTAAAGTATACAAGAGGAGAGTTGCCTGATCAGATGTCTGCTGTTCACAGAGAGCTGTGTACAAACTATTAAAGTTAATCTGGAAAGCATGTGGAATTGACGAGGGGAAAGGACTGCTATCTGGAATACAGAAAAAAAACACCACAAAATGTGAAAAATTTTACATTAGTATTTTCTGGACTGTGCCTTATATAAGTAATAAAAGCACTATTAAATAATGTATACAACTTAATTCCAATTAATTGCATACAAAGTCACTACATTTCAGATTAAAAATTTTAATTTATATTTTGAAAAAAGAACTAAAGTCAGTCACATAGTTAGACTTTGTTACTATTTTTGTATTAACATTACTGAACTAAATCTACTATAAGAACAGGAATTTAAATAAACAGAGATATAGGGCTAAGTAACCACCCCCACCGATACATACAGTCTAAGCCAGGTCACTGAGACATTCTGTAATCAAAATTAAGTGTACACCAGTCTTAAATAAAAATATCTACAGACAAAGAATAAAATTTTCTACATAAAACAGAAAGTCCTCCTGTAAGATAAGGTTTTTAGAACAAACTACCTTGAAGGTAAGTTAACTTTTTTCAAAAGAATAATCATGGCTGGAGTTCTACCAATATCCTTAATCCAATTAATTGGGGAAAAAAGGCTATTATTAACAACATATAATTTAGCCAATTTTAAAACAGTAGCAAAGTCAGTATGTTCAATATTAGCTTCTAAATGAACAAAATATGCCAAATCTAAGATAATTTTTGTTCTGCTGTGCACAGGGTCGCTGTGAGTCAGAGACGACTTGAGGGCACCTAACAACAAGATAAGAAACAATAAGAAAACTTCTATAACTTCTTTTGTTAAAAGGAAAACATACCTGAACAGCTGCCAAGAAATTTAAATATATCTATATATTTCCATTCACTGGAATGATGAAAAGCACAAATTACAGCCCATGCTGGGAAAATTGTTGATATCCTAAAACTGACAAAGGCCCTTTTCCTACATTAACTGGATTTGCTTAGAAACTGAAGCAAGCAAGGTTAGGGAGCCAAAAAGGAAAGATACAACTGACTCAGAAAGTTACAATCTCATCAAATGAAACACTGGAACTTGACAGCCCAAGAGCTGAGGTTTTAATATCCTTTGAAAAGTAAGCACCAAGAATTTTAAAACACAGAACCTACAAAGAACAGAGATTGCTTTAACATTTCCAACAGCTGTGTTCCTAGGGAAATGAGATGAGTGCCAACTCAAACAATCTTATTAGCACAGTTTTATTCCTCTCTGATTCTCTTTTCTAACCTTTATATTTTGTGAAAAGAATAGACCTAGAAAGGTCTAAGACTGTATCTAAATGTTTACAACATGGTGCCCTCACTTTTCCTCCACATTTAGCAGATGGGTTATTTTTTCCTATTCCAACACTGTATTTTTTGAGACTTAAAAAATAATTCTTCTATGTGACTGACTTCATATTTTTACAACAGGAAGCTGCATGTACTGTGAGTATTCAAATATTACAGAATCTATAGAAGACATACTGGAGAAAGATTCTGAACACATTATTTTATTATTATTATTATTTTTTTATTTTATTTTTACAACAGAACCTGATCACAAATGGGATATGTGTGCATTGTGTGTTTATTCATAACATCTGTATATTACTAGTAAGTGCTACAAACCAGCCATTATACTGACAGCTCTACATATATCATCCTTTATTATCCATACAGCAAGTGTCATTAGAACCCGTTCTACAAACAATCAAACAGAGGCTTAGAGAGACTAAATCACTTTTCCAAGATTAGCCCTGACTGGAACCCAGATTGGTCTCTGTCGTTGCCCCTTACATTACACTGCTTCCTCTAACAGGAGCAACCATTTTGTCAATCCATACTGTTGTCAATGTTCATTTACTTCTTAAGAATTTTGTGAGACAGAGATTATAAACTCTGCTTTACAGCTAACGAAACTGGGACTTGAAGAACAAAAACTGGGCTATGAACTCAGATCAGTCTGACTAAGGTCAATGTTCTGAATCACTGTGCAATGTAGACTCCCAAAAGATGACTATCCCAAGCCAGGTTCAAACCTAAATAGCAATATTTGGCCTGAGTAGCAATAGTAATAGCAGTAGATACCATATACTGAATATTTACCATATTGCAAAATCTAAGCTAATCACTTTATAACTTTATTTTGCTTGGTTTTTATACAAATACTATTAGGAGACATTAAGGAGTTCTGGTGGTGCTATAGTTAGGCACTGGGGTGCTAACCAAAAGGTTCAAACCCACCAGCTTGCTCCACAGGAGGGAGATGAAGCAATCTACTTCCATAAAGATTTATAGCTTTAGAAATCCAATGGGGGTCGCTATGAGTCGTAATTGACTCAATGGCAGTAGGTTTGGTTTTTGGTTTTATTAAGCAACATTATCTCCATTTTATAGACAAAACCATTGAGGCTTATTGAGATTAAGCAAATTGTTCAACTGTCTAACAACTCGTAAGTCGAATAGCTGTGCTGTGAACCCAGGTCTGCCTGGCTCCAAAACTTGTTTTCTTAACCATTAAGCCATACTGTCACCATGAAGAATACAGGCAATCCCCAGGTTATTTATGTCCAACTTACGTACAACTTGTACTTACAAATCAACCCCTGTAAAGCCTATAATATCAAAAATTTGGGGTACCTACAAGGGTTCATAATAACAAATGGATGATACTTTGTGATATGCATCAAAACATTACTATTACTCTAGAGGTATGCCCTGAGTGAGGAATGTCCAACTTACAGACAAATCCTACTTGCCCTTTACTCCAGTTCTGTTATGGCTAACAAAGTGAAATAGGAACAGACCCAAAGTTTTACAATTTGGCAGATTGAGCATAGCACTAGGTACAGAAAAAAATTATGGGTTGAAGCCCTGGAATGGAAGACTCAGAAGAGGCACAGCAAGCCCTTTCAGGAGCCTAGTGCATGTGACTGGATTGTTGACAGGAATGGACAAGAGTGACACACATATGAAAGCAGCACTGTCAGCCACCACCTTTCAGCAAGGTGCTGCCATGTTTGAGTGGGGCACCATCATCTTTGAGCAGTACAATGTTTCTTCATATTATGCTCAAAATCCAAGAGCAAGAGACTTGGTTGCAATGTAATACATATGCTGCCATTCTTCTGTATGAGGGAGATAAAGTTTTGACCTGTAATTTTTCCCATTCCAGCTATATTTCTGGTTTACTATAAGTTTAAAAATTAGAGTCTGTTCTGATGACTCTTCCTCAGCCATGGCTGAGCCTGACAGAACTGGTCAAAGTCTTGACAAATTCCTAAAGACACAGAAACTGGGGACTGCCTGTATTATTATGTTAAAGATGTTTTAGTGTATCTGCAAGTGTTTCTTTAATGTTCTTACACATAGAAGGTTACCTATATACTATGATAAACGTGACGAATTGATGTTAGATACGAACTGGACCTAACTATTCTGACTTATAAACCAATTAGACTTTCAGACAAACTTAGGAATAGAATTCATTCGTGATCTGAGGACCGACTGTATAGTAATATGAATGTAAGTAATATTACCAGACACGTAAGTTTTCATTTTTTATCTACAAAATTGTTAGAGATTTTCTAATTCCCCTACAATGTGGTTGTTGGTGGTGGTACCCTCATCCACTGTTTACAAGAAATACATAATAAACAGTTCTACAAAGGAATATGGCAAAGAGCATCAAAAGTCTTCAAATGTTCTAACCCAATAATTCTATTTCTTATCCATCTTAATTATATAAGTTTTGGATAAATCTTCCTAAGTTAGTAACTACACTGATCTTAGGAGCCCTACTGATGCAATGGTAAGTGTTCAGCTGCTAACCAAAAGGCTGCCAGTTCAACTCCATTAGCCACTCTGCAGCACAAAGACCTTGCAATCTGCTCCCATAAAGATTACAGCCTAGGAAACCCTATAGGGCAGTTCTACTCTGTCCTATAGGATTACTATGAGTCTAAATCAACTTCACAGCATACAATAACAGGTAGCATAGTGCCTAAGGCACTTGACTGCTAACCAGGAGGCTGGCGGTTCAAACCCACCAGCCACTCCTCGGAAGGAAGGTTGGGCAATCCTACTTCTGTAGTGATAACTGCCTCAGAAACCCAAGGAGGGGTTGCTAGGAGTCGAGGCCCACTTGATGGCAAATATGGCAAATAACAACAATCTTGCTTTTAGAATCGAACCTTTCCATAAGAGACTACTGTTTCAACATGGAACTACCTGTCCATGTTCTAATTCCAAAAAGCCCATTGTCACTGAGTTGATTTCAACTCATAATGACCCTACAGGACAGAGTAAACTGTCCCACAGGGTTTCCAAGGCTGTAATCTTTAAGGAAGCAGGCTGCCACATCTTTCTCCTACGGAGTGGCCAATTTAGAAGTTAGCAAACTTCAGCCCATGATTCAACCCACCACCTATTTTTGTACACAAAATTTGACTGGACCACAGCCATGCTCATTGGTTTATGTACTGTCTGTTTATGGTTGCTTTAGTCTATAATGGCACAATTAAGAGTCTGTGACAGAGACCATATGGCCCTGTCATCCACCCCTTTACAGAAAATGTTTGCCAACTCTTGTTCTGATTTTTAGTCCTATAAAACTTTAACTGGAATATGGACTTTAAATGAAAAACTTTAAACAAACTATCAGTTGGTGTTTTCCAGGTAATTCATATCCCCAACAGATAGGACAGGCCAATCCAAATTAAACACATGCTGGTTTGGCTTGGTTGTTTGGTTTGGTCCTTTCTGTAAGAAATGTAAATTTAAATGGATAAAAAAGATCACAATCCTCATCACTGATTTGTTTGGCCTTCCTGGGAATACAGAGAGAAAACCCTAAGTTTTTCTCATGTCTAACCAATATGAAAATATCCAAACTGACAGTCTATTCCCAAAGTAGAAGACAATAAACTTTAAGGAAGTAACAATATCCTCTTTACTCATTAAAAAGAATACTCGGGGAGGGGAACAAACACAGCCCACAAACCTTGTGTGTTCTTAAAGGACACAATGGCCTGTCTGTAGGGATTTGGTGCGTCAGGTGCATCTGTCAGGTTGGCCAGCACCAGCAGAAGCAGAAGGCTCTGGTTGGCCAGAGGGGAAGGCAGCTCTGGAGTTTGCGGTTTGCTGCCCGCGCCGCCGAGCGTGAAGACAGTCCAGAGTCCAGCTTGAGCAGAAAAAGACACAGTTAACATGTGCTAAGAATACTAAGAATGTATTCTGTACAATATCCTATACTGTGTTTAAAAGTTGATATAACACTTTTTCTATCATAAAAGTAAAACTAGTTGATTTGAAAATTTTCATACTGCCTAAGTACATAGAAGTTTTAAAAGACTATCATGCCTAATTCCCATAATTCTACTTTCTATAGGCAATGACAATTAAATTTATGTCTTTCCAGATTATCCCTTGCATATAGAAATATATATACATAATTATTCTATATACAACAATATAGAGAATTCTATATACAATTTTACACCAGTATATTAAAAAACAAGAGCAGAGCACACAAATATCTCAGAAAATACGAAATATCAGAAATGTCCAAAAAAGGAAGAAAGCTTGAATGAACAAATTACCCTAGAATAATATAAAACACAAAGAGTTAATCCCAAAAAACAAGCAAAGTCCAGGTTGTTTACAAACAAGTCTACCAAATTCTCAAAGAACAGGTAATTCCCATGTTAGAGAAACAGTCCCAAAGTATAGAAAAATAATCATCTGACAAGGTTAGAAAAATTCTACTTTGCATAAAAACTGTACAAAGACTATATTTAAAACAAAATGGAGTAATGAATAGAGATTTTTTAGGGAGCCTATATAAAACAAAAACAATGAAATCTAGTAGTAAAATCTGTTGAAAGAAGAAATACATCACGATCAAGAAGGCTTTGCCTCAAAAATGTAAGAACTGGTTACCAAAAAAAAAAAAAAAACCCACTGCCGTGGAGTCAGATCCAACTCACAGCGACCCCTCCTTGGGTTTCCGAGGCAGTATTACTACGGATGTAGATTGCTCAACCTTCTTTCCAAGGAAAGGCTGGTGGGTTTAAACAGTCAACCTTCTGGTTAGCAGTCAAATGCCTTAGGCACTATGCCACCAGAGGTTACCACATAAGAAAAAAGCAGGAAAAAAAAAATATGGTCACCTCAATAGAATCAAAAAATTCCTTGACAGGAAACAATCAGTCCTAGTGACTGGTACACCATCCGATCTGCAACCTATACAACTATGAGACCAGAAGAACTAAATGGTGCCTGGCTACCACTGTCATCCACTTGGAAGGGATGTAGTAGATCCTGCATAGAGAGTGACAACAATGTGGAACAAAACTCAAAATCATTTGGAGGCAAAAAAATAAAAATAAAAAAAGAAGGTGGGGACCAGGTTTGCTGGTCCAATAGAGCCTGGTGGAACCACTGAGACTATGGCCCCAAGCTGCCCTTCACGTCTGGAATTGAACCCACACCTGTGATTTCCAGCCAAACAAAGTATAGGCACGTGAATTAAACATTTACCTCAAGTAGACACACGCCCTGGAGAGAACAATCATGGGAGAAGGAAGGGCTGCTTATGCACAGGGAGACAGCTCAGGGGGCAGGAGAGTATGGAGGGATGGACATTGGAAGAGGTAACTATGGGGAGGAAGAAGGAGGGGAGCTGTTGCATTGTGGTAAACTGTGGTCAATGACATGAGACAAAGTATATGTGAACTGCTGTATGGAAAGTGAGTTTGTTCTGTAAATCTTCACTCAAATCAAAATAAAATAAAATAATTCCTTGACAGAACTTAACCCCCATTCCTAATTTAAAGGAAAAAAAAAAAAATTCTTACAAACCTCTTTAGTTTCTAAACTCTGTCTAACCAGAAATCTATAGCAGTCAAACACTGGAAATATTCCAATTAATATCATCAACATCAGCACTGGTTCTAAATAGCCAGTAACCACCTAAAGCTACTGAACTGTTGAAATGTGGTTAGTCTGAACTGAACTGTGCTGTAATTATAAAATACACATCAAATTCTGAAAATTTAACACCAAAAAACAAAGGAAGAGGAGAGAGATCTTACTAATACTTATTTAATATTGATTACGTGTTGAAATGATAGTATTTTTTATATACTGGGTTAAGTAAGTATATCATTAAAATTAATTTCACCTGTTTCTTTTTAATATGGCTGATAGAAAATTTAACACTATATATATATGTGTCTTGTACTGTGGTTTTCCATTGAACAGAGCTGCTCTAGAATATCAGAGAATCAAATGATACACAAGTAGAATAGCAAGTTTTGGCATAGTTCTAAGGCTACAAGATCAATGGCCTTCCTATACACAAGCCATGTATAATTAGAAAACATACTTAATTCCAATCACAATAGCAACAAATCCAATAAAATATTTAGGATTAAATATGAAGGAAATATGTTAAGTCCTGTATGCAGACGACCACAGAGGTTGACTGAAGGCCACATGAGATCTAAATTAATGCAGAGACGCAAAATATTTCTGGACAAAAAGACTCAATACTGTGACTATGTCAAACTCCTCCTAAATTAATCTAAAATGTAATACAATCCTCCTCAAAATAAGGACAGGAATTTACATGGTACTTTTTAACATGGTGTAAACAAAATATTGCTGGATAAAAAAATACATAAGATGAACATTTTTGAGAGAAATTAATATGGAGAGGAATGCTCCTCCTCGGACAAGAACTTGTATCAAGCTGCACTCATTTAAAAGTGTGATTCTGGCACGGAGTAGACAAGCAGGGCAATGAAGCAGACTGAGGTGAGAGACAGAACCATCTGTATTTCAGAATTAAAGCTAATGATACAGTTAGTAGAAGGCTGGCGGTTCAAACCCACCAGCCACTCCACAGGAGGAAGACCCGGCAATCAACTTCCATAAAGATTTATCACCTCGGAAACCCAAAGGCGATAAATTCCAAAGGGATTTCAAATCCATGAGAAAAGGGTAAAATTCTATAAATGACCATGGGATGATAATATTTAATCATTTTTCTCAGTATCTATTTATAGTAGAATTTTTGGTGTGTAAGTGCAGAAGTAAAGAACTCTCTTTCTTGTGCAAGAAATGATATTCAAAAATATATGAAGAATATATGATTTGACAACTTACATGTATGTTGTTGTTGTTGTTATGTGCCGTCGAGTCAGACCCGACTCATAGCAACCCCTCCTTGGGTTTCCGAGGCAGTATGACTACGGAAGTAGATTGCCCCAACTTCCTTCCAAGGAGTGGCTGGTGGGTTTGAACCGTCAGCCTTCTGGTTAGCAGTCAAGTGCCTTAGCCACTACACTACGAGAGCTTCCCCTATACATGTATAGGAATGTTAAATGCAATATTGTATACAACCGTCAATAATGGAAACAATATAAATGTCCACCAGTAGCAAGTTATACAGAAGCTATGGCTAATCCATACTACAGAATATAACATAAAGAGGTAGATGTCACTGTGCTAACGAGGCTCTATCTCTAAGGTATACTATTAAGTGAAAAGAGTGAGCTGCAGAAAAACTGAGGTAACAGTTTTAAAAGTCACTTACCAAAATCATGTATGTGTGTGTGTATTTATATATGCAAATACACTGTCCTATAAAAAAATAGGAAGGATATATCGTACAGCCACTGCCACGAAGTCAACTCTGACTCATAGCAACCCCTTAGGACAGAGTAGACCTGCCCCAAAGGATTTCCAAGTCTGTAAATCTTGACAGAGGCAGACTGCCTCATCTTTCTCCCACGGAACAGCTGGTGGGTTCCAGCTGCCAACTGACATACTGCATATATAATAGTAAAATAAAATGGACTGGAACTAATGGAAATCAAGAACATTTGCTTTATTTGTATAGTTTAAATGTTTGCCATAAAAGGATATTTATATATTTATTTAAAAATAAATATAAAGAATAAAATTAAAACAACAGAACAACACTGACCTCATCAGTATATCATTATGTAGGATATTGAAAAACCTCGTAACTAAATTGTTAAGTAAAAAGGAAAATCACAAACAGTACAACACATACCAGTAATGTGCTCATTTGTTTTCCTTAAATTATAAATTATAGTATAGGTATCTATGCATATAAGTGGCATAGTGCCTAAGGCATTTGACTGCTAACCAGAAGGCTGGCGGTTCAAACCCACCAGCCACTCCTCGGAAGGAAGACTGGGCAATCTACTTTCGTAGTGATACCACCTCGGAAACCCAAGGATCCGACTATGCGTGTAAGCGCACCTATAGGAGCCCGGCAGGACCCATGGTTGACAACAGTGACTAATGGCTGAGGAGCAGCATGGGAGTGAGGGAGGGTGTTTGAACAGAGTCTCCTATTTGTTCAGTGCATGACTCTAGGACGTGACTCTTTCACAATACAGCATAACTTAAGCAATTAAAAAACAATGAAGAAGTGAGAGAAGGAGGAAAAATCCTGGTTAGCAAGCCCAGAAGATGTGATGAAATATGCTTTGGAGCTAGGGATACAGACTTATAATTTTTACTTTTAAAAAAGCTCCTCCTGGTAATTCTGGATGGATAATCACCAACATGTTAACATTGATTATATCTAGGATTATGGCAACGGACATATTTTTTTCACTTTTTGTACATATCTATGCTTTCAATAATTTATGACAATGAGTGAGTTATTTTTATAAAAACATCCTTGCTAAAGCAATTTAATGCTTTTTTAAATAAATTTAAAATATTAGCAAAATAAACAAAACTGATAAATTTTGTTTCTCCTGAACTAACATAAAAATATTTTTTTCCTTCCTTGTAAATATTCCTCACTTTTTAACATGGTTATGTTCTGACAACCAGGGTTCATGTGAAAATAGAGGATAACCACATCAGATCACTAAATGGAGGGTCACTACATCATTACTTAACTGTCAAACCATTGAGAATCATGGTCCAGCCAAGCTGACAAAACCATCACAGCGAGCATTACTCTCATCTGGCAGCTCGACATTCATTACTGTCCAATGTATGTCACTGATGCAGTAAAGAGTCAGATAGTAGATCTTTTACTATTGTTGTAAATGCAAAATGTTGAAAAATGGGAGAGTCAGTAAGTGAACAGTATGTTAGTTCAGAGTGGATGTTTGTTCATTTCCAATAGTT